AATGCAGCCCGACCCAACCATTTGCTGTTTCTAACTTGAGCTGTTTTTATTTACCAGGAGTTGCTGAGATTTCCCAAAAGTTCAGTGCCCAGTTTTGGGCAAGCTGCTTTTGGTAATGTTGCGTGTCAAAAACTGAAATGAATTTCAGCTCCATCAAGTGCATGACGGACCAGTTGTTTTGTTGATTGAATGCTGTTATCATACTTTTTTTGGACTTCTGATGAATGGTAAGGGTGTGTTTACATACTGCCTTTATGACCTTTATGTTGTTATTCTTTGTATTCTTTTTCTTGCTTCTTGTTTGGGACTTCCAAGCTACAGGATGGCTGCTGTCACCAAGCTGGATGCTTCTTTGTGGTAGAAAGAAGAACCCTGGAGTTTTTAGATTTTTGTGCTACTGGATTTATGCAAGGACAAGTTGGATCGGGGAAGGATATTAGGTTTCTAAGAGTTTCAACAGAACTTTATTGACAAGGATATGCACCAATGCTGCATTCTGCTGAGAACAGAAATCTTGGGACCAGCATGGCTGGGTTGCAATGGATTCCAAGTTAAGGCTCAGAGTGACGGTTCATCACTATCATGAGTGTCTTGGATCCTCGACAAAGGCTCTTAATGCTTGTGATAACATCTTCTGATTTATGCGGTCCCCAAATTGTTGCGAGCGCACTTGGGTTCATGGGTCAATGGGTTGGTGCACTTTTTCCCAATCCTATGTGCTCTAGTTTGATTTTTCCCAGAAGTTGTAATAATCAACTTGCAACTAGGGCATATGGAATGGTCCAAGCTGAGAAAAGTAGGAGAGGCCAGTGACTCCACTGCGTCCAAATTTTTTGTTTGTATATAATTTTTTGAATATCCTAAAAATAATTTAACTAGTTAGTACCCTTTATGAAATAATTGCTCGTTATTCAATTGAGTTTTCTGAAAGAACTAAATCGCACCAAGAAAAAGGAATAATCAAACCCAAAACCAGCCATATTACCAAACCATCCGGCCTTGTAGAATAGAGAAAGGGACCTTCCATCATCCAAGCCAAAGAGTAACATGGAGAGGTAGCTGTATGAGTGTGACCCAATCATATAAAAAAAAAATCACATATTCCTTGCATTTTATTTTGATGGTGTTATAGGGATAATTTTTTTATATAATTTTTATGTATTATTAAATGGATAAATGTATTCAATATCATAGATTTTATATGAATTAAAAGAATCAATCATTTTAATAACATGTTAAGTTATACAAAAAAAAAGATAAAATTGTACAAAAATCATTTTTCATTTTATTCTCCCAAGATCCTTTTATCCCCAAAAGAATAATAATAATAAATAAATAAAATTCCAAAAGACGCTTTCCATTGTGACATTTTTGGTAAGTTAAATACTTGCCTGTTTCATTTTCTTCACAGGAGATTCTAGAATCTCCTTGGAATTATCCTTTGCACAAATGCCAAATTCCTTCTTTCCCTAAGCTCACCTCACTGTCACCAACATTTCAATCACCCGCGCAATCACACTAAAGTAAACCAATCAATGTCAGACTGACCCCAATGGCAAATCCCATAATTGTGGGAACCGGCCAATTAATAAATATTCTCTAATTTCAATAAAATTATTGATTTTTGGCCCCTCATTATTTGCCTTTTGCCCACATCCCAAGCACTTAAATAATGAATTCCTTGTAAGTATAATATAAAGCTATATTTTAACTCAAAAAGTTAGACTCTTTAATTAATTTTTTTTATATAAGTTTGTTAAATTTATATTTTAAGTACAAGTTAAAATTTATTAATTAAAGGTCCAACTCCGGTGACTTAATAGTCACTCTTTGAATGGATGTGATAGACATAATAATTTGGGTTTAAATTCTAAATTTTACTTTTTTTTCCTTTACAAATTCTCCCTGTTAAAAAAAATATTAATTAAAGTATTTTTAATTAATTTTTGCATAAATTTATATATTAAATTTATTTTTTTACATATTTTGAATATAAATATTATATTTTATTTTATTTAAATCTTACATTAAATTTTTTATAAATTTAATTATAAATAATACAATTAATGAGTAGGTTAAAAACATCCCTTATTTTATAAATAAAATGTGTAATTTTTTTTAAAAATGTAACATATCAAAGTTAAAATGAACTATTAAAAAGGTTTAGAATAAAATTAATGTTTTGCTAATAGAATAGAATTAATGTTGAAATATGTGAAAATTTATCTATAAAAAATTTCAACACCTTAAAAATGTTTTTATAATTTAATGATCACTTTATTACTTTTTATACTTAAATTTAAAAATGTACTATTCAAACCCCACTCTCAACTACCAACGTGGGGTTGGATCAAGTGGTAAGTAATTTGTTTCAACTTAAACAAGATCTCAGGTTCGAGACCTTGTAAATGCAGCAGCCTCTGTTGGGAAATTCACCTATCATTTTCAGGTGCGCGACGTGGGTCGATTTGGATTAGTCGGGCGAAGCCTCAGATACCGGACGGAAAACCAAAAAAACAAAAAAAATCCCACTCTCAACTGATAAAAAAAAAAAAAAATCCGCGTAGGCATTGGTTGGTCGTTCATTTATTTTATATAAATGCTATATAGGTAACCGAATATGCCCGGGAATTCCCCTTACTTCAACGACTCGTTTATACCTTTTTTCTAACCGCCACTTCATCACACGCCAAGCATATGCTCTTTAATATTCTACAAACCCTCCCTCTAATTACCTCCCCCCCCTCCCCCCTCTCTTCCCTTCATCGTCCCCAATTCTGAAGTTCCGGTACCGGAATATTGTTGAGTATGAAGTTCGGGAAGAGACTGAAGCAGCAGATTCAGCAGACACTGCCTGAGTGGCAAGACAAATTTCTGTCTTACAAAGAGTTGAAGAAGCTGGTTCGATTGATTTCTTCAGCTCCGTCAGTGTTGAGCAGATCCACCGAGTGCGGTAACAAGGCCGATGCCGAGTTCGTCTACTTGCTGAACCAAGAGATCGAGAAGTTCAATGCCTTTTTCGTGGAGCAGGAAGAGGATTTCATCATTCGCCATAAGGTAAGTTCAAAATCGAAGCCGCCATTTAATTACTTAATTAATTAATTAATTTGTAGATTTTCTTTTTTCTTGGTAGCACAGTCAATTTCTACCAATCAGAATTTTTCTCTTTTATTTTCTAGGGTGTATATGATTATGATATTCAACTCTATAATCATGTCTACTAAATGTGGATCCTTTTAAATATAGATCCATTTAGTTTTCATGTTTGGATCAACATTTACCCATGATATTGTTTCCTTTTATGGGTGTGTTTAAGAGCAATTGAAGCAGAGACAAGATCTATGCCATCTCTTCTAAGAAAAAGAAAGAAGCAAAAATTGGGAGGACATAGCCAAAGTCCTTAATCTACTATAATTTGTTGTTTTTTTTGGTACATCTGAATATGGTATACAAGAAGGGACAACTCTTTCTTTCTCTAAATCTCACTTTGCCCGACTCAAGGTTTGAGATTAAGATATTTAACTTAAAATGTCAAATTTTTAACCATTGAGACATCGCATTTGAAGTTCTGAATCTACTATAATAATAAAACTTAATATCGAATCTATTAATACCTCTAACATTGACTGAAAGAGAAGCTGTTATGTTTATAATTTCTAATACAAAAGGCATGTAGGAATTACAACAAAGGATTAAGAGGGTGATTGATACATGGGGATCTAATGGAAGTCATCCTTCAGAAACGAAGTATAAAGAAGAGATGGGAAAAATTAGAAAAGATATTGTCAATTTCCATGGCGAAATGGTGCTCTTAGAGAATTACAGCAACATGAATTACACAGGTAGTCTATAATTTAAGCCTCGGCCTTTGCTCTCACTAGATACCAATATACTGTTTCTTGAAATCGAATTCATTTTATTAAAATTAACAAGTTGAGTTTTGCAGGGTTGGCTAAGATCTTGAAGAAATATGACAAAAGAACAGGAGGGTTGTTGCGCTCACCCTTTATCAAGATGGTTTTACAGCAGCCATTTTTCACTACTGATCTTGTTTCCAAGCTTGTAAAGGAATGTGAAAACACCATAGATGAAGTGTTCCCAGTGGAGGAAGAAGAGAGAACAAAAGAAAGAAAAGAAGCAATAAC